GGCCCAATCAGCCCCAGCCCCGCTACCACACACTTCCCAGGAGCACCTGAAGCACCCAGACCGGCCACCCCCACCCGCCCAGGGCCGCTCCTCAGGGACAAGGACCTAAGGGCACGCGCGCGCGACGGAGCCCGGGGGAAGACAAGCGCACACGCACACGGGAGGGCGCGCACAGCCGGCCACGACACCACGCGAGATCCAAGAAGGCAGGTCGGTTCGGATGCAGGCGGTGACCCGGGCCGGCATGTGTCCCATGGAAAACCGAGCCCTCTGGACACCCCCCACCGCTCAGGAATAGGGTAACAGAAAAACGATAGAAGATAAACAGCCCCCTTCGATGCGGCCACACATGAAGGGCCGGCCACGGGCCTCCTGCAAGCGCACTGGACTCGCCCGGATACAGGGCATGAGCTCCCCCAAGTCGGAGCCCACCGGAGAGAGGACGCGGGCCAAGGGGCCGCCCCTCAGAGAGGACACGCAGGAGTGGAACTCTATGGCTGTAGTGGGCCGTGGACCAGGTCCACTGTGCACAGGCTCAATAGCCCACCAGAAGCCACACTCAGATGCCCGCAGTGGCTCTGCTCCAGGGCCGTCACACACCACAAACACACACCACACAACACAAACGTCACACAACGCTCGAGTGTTTCAGCCGCCAGGTGCTGTGGCACCCTGTCCACACAATGTAGTCAGCCCAGCAGGGGGAGGTGATGCTGCGGGCACCATGCATAGAGGCCCTGCTCGTGCCACTGTACAAGGCTCAGGGCTCACCACCGGAAGGCCAGGTGAGGACCACCGACTGACTGCCCACAGGGGGACGTGCCGGCCCCAGGAGACACAAGACCACTGCAGCTTTGCAGGATCACAACCCGAGAGTCAGGGCTAACTACCTCCGTAGGGCACAGGAAGCCCCCTGGGCACCTGTCCAGAGACTCCAGATCAGTGGTTCAACCTTCCCAATGCCGAGACCCTTTAATACAGCCCCTCAGGTTGTGGTGACCCCCCAACCATAAAACTATTTTTGTTGCTACTTCATCACTGTCATTTTGCCACTGCTATGAATCCTCATGTAAATATCTGATCGGCAGGATGTATTTCCATTGTTAAAAGTTGAACATAATTAAAACATAGTGCTTAATCCCAGAAACAATATGTAATTACATATTGTGAAATATTTATTTCTAATGACAAATAAGTGAAGTGTTGTCTGGAAGCATGCTGTAGCATGGGTCACAGCCTTCATGCCAGGGACTCGTATGTGGACCTATCTGCATGTGGGCAGACCCGCCTGGAGCCCTAGAGGAGCCGCGTCTCGGTCCCTAGGACCATCAGAAATATGTTTCCCCGTCTATGGCGACCCCTGTGAAAGGGTTGAGACCCCAAAGGGGTCGAGACACACAGGTTGAGAACTGCTGTTCTAGATCCACGACACCCTCGCTCACTCAACCAGTTACCTGACCAGCTCCACCAACTCCCACTAAACCAGTCACTTAACCTGACCTCTCACCTGACCAGCTGCCCCAGCACCGGCCAGGTGATCCAACGAGCTCTGGATGATCCAACACATCTCGCTCCCAGGGGGTTCGGCCACTTGGGCTGGGAACCCTCAGACTGTGCCAACACTCAGGGGCCCTAGTGGCACAGCTGGTAAGCGCTTGGCCGCTAACCAGGGTGGGGGCGCCAGGCACCTGCTCCGCCAAGACAACAGCCTGGGGTGCCTCGGCTCCCTTGTAAAGCTGAGCAGAACAAAGGGAGAGAAGCCACTGCCCTCCCGGGACGCCGCCGACGCACCGGACAGCGCAGACCTGCCGCCAGTGGGTTCCCCGGGATGGAGCTCTTTATGGAGCAGAGCCTCATTCTCCTCCCAAGAAACAGTCGGTGGGCTCAAACTCCAGACATATCGCACACCCCACAATGCCCTCAGCTCGGGCCTGGCATGAGTCAAGAGAACATTTCCACTGGCACAGGATCTGTGTGCTCGATGGTGAAAGTCTCCGGTACTTAGTGCTTGGAGTGGGGGAAGAGAGTGAGTGAAGTGCTGCTTTGTGAACTGAAGGGTGGCTTGTTCAAATCCACCCTCGGCTGGGAGGGAGAAAGATGAGGCCGTCTGCTGTCTTTAAGATTTGACAGGCTTGGAAAAATGCCGCAGGGGCGGCCCTACTCCGCCCTGTGGGGAACAGTGTATTTGATTTAGGGGCCGTAAGGCTCTCTGGTGAGTCCCACATTGGGTTACCAACTGCAAGGCCAGCAGTTCAAATCCAGCAGCTGCTCCACAAGAGAAAGACAAGGTTTTTTTCCAACTATGAAGCGTCAGTCTCAGAACCCTCTGGGGCAGTTCTACCCTGTCCTGCAGGGTCAGTGTGAGTCAGCATCCACTCTGAATGGGCAATTTGAGCTCCCCAACTGTTCCTGGGGAGGGGGAACGGAGGCAGTCTGCTTCCGCAACGCTTTGCAGTTCAGGAACCGGCCCGGGGCGGATCTCCGGTGTCCTTTCGCTGAGTGGGGATGGGCAGGATGGTTTGGTCTGGGTGTTAGGGGGTGGCCTAGTGGCAAGTGGGGTTAAGAGCTGGGCTGCTATCAGCGAGGTGGGTGGTCTGACCTCAGCAGAGGCTCCCCTGGAGAACAGGGAGGCCGGCCTGAGGGAGACCCCGCGGGGGCCAGTGGCGTTAAGCTATGCGTTTGCAGAGACATGCCACAGAGCTGCTACTAACGGTTTGCAGGAGAAACACGTGGTGCATTGAGAGCCGCCACCGCTGGTCACCGCGAGGTCAGCAGTTCGAAACCACCGGCCACTGCT